GCCTATGCGGCCGCACAGGCAAAAACACCATGCGGCATCATGGTGGCATACCGAAACTTAAGTCGGCATTTTTGTTGAACCATGCGTCCGCATGGAAATACACCATGCGGTCGCACAAGCCAATTTTTTGGAAAATTTCCTATTTTTGGAATTTTTTCATATTTTGTTAGTTTTTTATTCTTTCCATATTTTGGGGATTATGCTCGACTTTTGCACGATTTTTACCTAGTTTTTAGGTTTAGTATAAATAGGAGCTTCCATTCAATTGTTAAAAACCTTTGACATTATTGATATTAAATTAAAAGTGAGGCGTATTGTCTTCTCTTCATCATTCTTCATTAAACAACTTCGAACTTATCAAGTATTAACTTGTGGCGTTCAAACAATCGGATTTAATTCTTGGATTGTGTGATCAAGGGTCTTTCAAGCGTCGTTCTTATTGGATTTTTTTGGTTCGACTTTCTTTTGGGTTAATCCTAAATTCTTGGATTAATTTGGCTTTCTTGGGTTCGTCAATCTCGTTGTGGGTTTCGTAGTCAACGTTGCTACGGGGTTCGCATCAATAACCAATTTGTTGTCCAACGTACAGCCTCTTACTTTAACACTTACACCGTCACTGCAATGCTTCTAAAATGGGTAGGAATCATTACCCAACGAAGTATTTTCAACGTAATCTCTCGGATACTTATTTTTATATATAGAATTCTTTTTCATACAAACATTCTTAGAATTCAAATTCCCACAAGGACTATACATCATATGTTTTACTACAGTAGCATGCAAGTAAGGGTACTTATTTTTGTCGGTATTTCAGATGAGACAATTTCGTCGACTTGTACAAAATTCCGAATCTTAGAATTTCGTTTAAATATTAGGAGAAAATGAGTGTGAGGTAATCTTCTTTTCTAGAATTCAATCACGTAAACATATTCAGCAATAGGACCCAACAACTTTCTTTTAACCAAATTTGTCTTCAATTTCTCAAACTTGGCACGAAATATTCATACTAGCAAATCTGGCCTATTTTGTATCTCGTCAATGTGTTTCAATTCACATTTTATTTCAGACCAATTTGGATTACATGTCATTGTCAAAAATACATCATGTTTACCATATCTCTGAACTAAAGATATGTGTCCATATATCTTTTAATCATGTTTCTAGGACCCCAACAAAACTAGAAGGCAACACTAATGATCTACCAATTTTATAACTCTTTTCTCACCATTTTATACACTATCTATAATTCCCTGATATAGTTCAGCTCTTATAACCCTTTGTTTATTACGAAAGTATTCTAATCTTACTGTTTCAATTTAACATACATATGCACAACATATTGTTGTAAAATTCTGCCTGCACGTAAAAGAACGCAATTACAATTGTTTACACACCTGATCTAAAACTTATAACAATAATATTCCTGACATGATACAGTTATTCGTTTCTTCTTTGCCTTCAAAACTGCAAGAAAGAATTTTATATCAACAAAAACTTCATTCACTAAATACAATCAATAAGATAAATAAATTAGTTAAAAAAATAGAAATTACTATAATTGATAAAGTTTACCATAGTCTTCTACTTCCAACAGTTGATCCGCAGAATGGACATGATTAACTTCTATTAAATTCTGACAAATCGAAGCTTGTGAAATACTTACATTTACCTTTTAAATACCTTCATGCTATCCAAGTTCTCCATACGGGAAAAATAGTGGATATTGAATTTATTCATTCTTTTTCTTTTTTGCTTTTTTTCCTTACTATCTTTAGTTTGCATTTAATTGAGTTATGGGAAGACAACGTTGGGTACCTACATCTACAAAGGTTGATTTTCTTCGATTCATATTTGATGGAGGAAATAAAAGTCCAAATAATGCAGAAACTATACATATACATTATCCTGTTATTTCTAAAAAAAATGTTGGTGATTAGTTTAAAAATAGGTGAGCTCGAGAAAGAAAGAAAAAGTAGACGTGTATGGAGAATCCTCAACTGAAAAATCAAATACATGAAGTGCAACCTCATTTTGCACTTCATTCTGATCGACGTTTAAAGACCTTCAGTTTAAGAGGTTTATATTTATCAGTACTTTCCAATGCTACTTTTATTTGATTTAGCTTTCGATCTCACTTTTGGTAAAAAACATGCTATAGTTAAGATTTTGTGGTCATTGAAAAAAAACAAAATCTTATGTATAAAGTGAAACCTCACCTTCAGTTTGTTTATATTTATATTTATCAGTACTTTCTAATGTTATATGTTTTTTGTGCATGTATTTGTTTTAACATTTGATCTCACTTTTGGTAAATAATATGTTGTAGTTAAGATTTTGTCATTAAAAAAAAAAAAAAAAAGAAACTTCGAACAGTGTAGAGAATCTCTCCGCACAGTTCAGAGAGATCAATTGATCTCTCTGAACTGTGCGGAGAGATTCTCTACACTGTTCGAAGTTTCTTTTTTTTTTTTTTTTTAAATGACAAAATCTTAACTACAACATATTATTTACCAAAAGTGAGATCAAATGTTAAAACAAATACATGCACAAAAAACATATAACATTAGAAAGTACTGATAAATATAAATATAAACAAACTGAAGGTGAGGTTTCACTTTATACATAAGATTTTGTTTTTTTTCAATGACCACAAAATCTTAACTATAGCATGTTTTTTACCAAAAGTGAGATCGAAAGCTAAAACAAATAAAAGTAGCATTGGAAAGTACTGATAAATATAAACCTCTTAAACTGAAGGTCTTTAAACGTCGATCAGAATGAAGTGCAAAATGAGGTTGCACTTCATGTATTTGATTTTTCAGTTGAGGATTCTCCATACACGTCTACTTTTTCTTTCTTTCTCGAGCTCACCTATTTTTAAACTAATCACCAACATTTTTTTTCAGAAATAATAGGATTATGTGGCGATAATGTGGACATTATATGAACTATTTCTACATTGTTTGGACTTTTATTTCCTCCATCAAATATGAATCGAAGAAAATCAACCTTTGTAGATGTAGGTACCCAACGTTGTCTTCCCATAACTCAATTAAATGCAAACTAAAGATAGTAAGGAAAAAAAGCAAAAAAGAAAAAGAATGAATGAATGAAACAAGCCAAGCCTTGACAGTAGTGTAAAAAAGATCGGGAATGTGGGTCGAAGGAAAACAGATGATTAACTGAAATTTCACAGAATAAAATCCTAAATGCAACAGCACCAAAAATGGAAATAAAATGGAAATGAAGATATCAATCAATTTGGTAGTTGAAAATAAGGAAAATAAGGAGTATGGTTGCTTGAATGAGTATGGACGAGCCAAAGAAGAAAAAAGAAAGGAAAAAAAAAAGGCACGAACAGTGAAATGGGTTTACTTTACTGTTCTTTCTACAGTGGCATCTCATTCCCTTTTTAATAGAAGTTAGACAATAGAAAATGATGGAAGTAGACACTACCCACATAAGATAAGTTACGACACTGTATATCTTCGTGGATTTCAATGGCCTTTCACGGGATATAGTTATTTCTTGTAGTTCTATAAAAATACTATGATTTATATTGTATTGGCCGACCATCACTATGATTTTGGTAGTTAAAGCATTCAAGTTTGCAATTTGCTTTTGAACAAGAACTCGTAACTACAGATTAAAAGAAGAATTCATGTGAAAGATTGTTAATATGATCTTATCTGCTTCTTTATTTTTATCATCTACTCTGCTGGTGCAATGTTTTCCATTGATTTTTTATCTGAGCAGCTATGCAGCATTTATTTTGTTATTTCTAGTCTTTTGCACAAAGGCTAAGGATTCAAAGATGATTTGGTCCAGATATTCATAGAAGTCATTGAGTTATCAAATAAGTAGAATTATAGTATAGTTTTATTTACTTTATTTTTCTTTTTGGATTTAGTTTCCTTCGCTGATTAAGTTGTAATGTACGTGAACAAGAATGCTGCTGACTGTTTTTCCTTTGCTTCTTGATAAATTTGTCTGTTTGGATTTTGAAAACTGTTAATTGCATTTTCAGAAGTATTTTTTGGAGAAAGTAATGAGTATAGGAAAAAGTTGACAGAAGTTATACTAATGTTGACGTGGTGACGCAAGATTGGCTTAAGCTGTATGAGCTACAGTGCATGCACAAGGACGTAACATCAATTCAAAAGTTTAGATTTAATATTCAAATTATTTTTGATTCATATATTACGTTGGATTTGTGAGTTCTACGCATTTGGCTCCTACTCATTTTTATCTATTTATAAACATCAATTATGCTTGTTTAGAAAACCTCTTCCATTGTACATTTGACATTTGACTGCGCACAGTTTTCCATTCAGAAGATTACATTCAGAGAAAACGAAGTAGAATGTTATAACTTTTAAGATGAAATAATTAAAATTAAAAAACAAGTAACGAATAAAAACATAGAGTTTTATGGAAACATATTGTCCGACTGCCATATGGAAGCTACGGAAAGAGGGATGCTAAACAAGCTTTTAATTAATGGAAATAAGTAGCTTATTTTTTGCATATGTTTGAATGGACTGATTGAATCTTAATTTGTTTCTAAAGGAGAAGACGACTTATGACCAAATGATCAGCCACAGAAATCACTGCTAATGTTTTTTTAATTTTTTTAACAAAAGAAGAAACTCTGCCAATGTGCCGGCTAACTCTTTGATAATGAACAGCCGGCCTGTCAATATTTTCTATATTATGTTGTTCTTCATTTAATATTCTTACAAGGAAGTTTAGGTCAAGAGTCAGAGATGAAATAGGTAGAAAAGGAACATGAATTTGTCGTACGACGTGACATTAGTTAATTGATCTTTTAACTTGTGTCAAAATTTAAACAATCCAATATTAATACAAGATAAAAACTGTAAGCTAGATAATTGATGAATATCCCTCGTCTTTTGATTCTTTGCTGTTTCATAGGACAGATAGTAACTAATTTCTGCTTGTACGCTCACTCTCTCTCAGGGCATTGACTCAGCGAATTCATGGATCGACATTCGTTTGAGATTGAGAATTCCCCGTCTCACCGGAGATGCTATCCAACTCCAGCCAAGTCTGAACACCAGTTTACCTCATTTTCAAGCTCCAGCTCTCACCAGTTCTCTCATTATCAGACTCCTCGTAGAAGGCGGAACCCCACTCCCCCCCCATCCACACCTTTTGCCTCTGACTATGACAGGTCGTGGCAAGGCGAGCTCTCGTGGCAGTTTGAACCAACCGGATGGCAAGAAAACCGTAACCTTGGGGCTACACTCAGTCCTTTTACAGCCAATGCTGCTACTCCAGCTAGTACCAGTAGCAGAATTTTCAGGAGATCAGCTAATGATTATTATCTTTCGCATACTTATGGTGGTTTCGAAAGCTTTATTAATCCATACTATGATTATTCTCACTCGGGGTATCATCCGGTCCCTTTGGGGAGGATTGAGCTGCAGAGTTATGTTGAAAAAAATTCAATTTTTGAGAGGAGTTACACTTTTGGTGAACATGCTGCGAAATCTACCGAAGTTCCTATCATGGCAAGTTTCAACGAAGGGAATGCTGGAACTCCAAGTACTTCGGCTGGAAAAGATGAGTTTAGTATGATTGATTACGATGATATCAGTCATCATCGGGACTGCCAGCAGCATGATGACCCAAGATGGTTTTCTGTATCGCATGCTTATATTGAAGAAAAAGTCGGGGATGATCATGGAGGGATGTCAAATTACCATGAAATGTCACACCATAGATATATTGATAATAGTCAACAGAATCATAGCCAAAATATTGGCACTTATGAGCAGTCCCCTAATTATTTACATAGAGTGGATGATGGATATGGTGACTTAAGTCCGGAGTCAGCATTTGGTGAAGAGGATGATGACGAAGATGATGTGGTGGCACCACAGTCAGTGGGGCTATATGGCTTATTCAAGTACTCGACAAAGTTCGATTTAGTTCTTGTGTTATTGGGTTGCTTGGGAGCATTTATCAATGGGGGGTCTCTTCCTTGGTATTCTTATCTTTTTGGCGATTTTGTTAACAAACTTGCCCGAGGACCAAACAATGACAAACATCAGATGATGAAAGAAGTGGAAAAGGTATTAACTTTTCCTATGTAGCTGATCCAAATGTTGCAGAATTATTGGTTAATTTACTTAACATCAAGGTTTCATTCGAGAAATAAATTATGCAATTTTGAGATGTTTAATGTAACACAGATATGCTTGCTTATGACTGGATTGGCAGCACTGGTAGTGGTGGGAGCTTACTTGGGTAATGAACCATTTTCTTTATCTTTTCTCCCTTTTGACAAATCTCAAACTTTTCTCCAATTTTGATATGAAGTTCATTGACGACAATATATTTTTCTTTCTGATGGCAGAGATTACTTGCTGGAGAATGGTTGGGGAGAGATCGGCACATAGAATAAGAACAGCGTATCTGAGAGCAGTTCTTCGACAGGATATTGGATTTTTCGACACTGAGATTAGTACCAGTGATATCATGCATGGAATCTCAAGTGACGTCGCACTAATCCAGGAAGTGATGGGGGAGAAGGTTGGTCAAACTGATATTTTCGGTTATCGTTTTGTGTAATGAGAACTCATGCTTGATTTCTTCTAAGTCATATTACATAGTAATTTGAAAAGTTTGGTATAATACAGATAGCCCATTTTGTTCATCACATATTCACCTTCATCTGTGGTTACATGGTCGGTTTCTTGAGATCTTGGAAGGTGTCTCTGGCAGTTTTTGCTGTCATCCCTTTAACGATGTTCTGTGGTATTGCTTATAAGGGTATCTATGGTGGCCTAACTGCAAAAGAAGAGGTTAGACGAATCGAGCATAGTATAACAATGCCTAAATAATCTGAGACTCCCGAATCTTTGTTATCGATGTATTACTGATCTTTTTCCTTTTCTTTTCTGAAGAACTCTTACAGGAAAGCTTGTAGCATTGCAGAGCAAGCCATAAGTTCTATCAGAACTGTATTTTCCTTTGTGGCCGAGGATAATTTGACTGCAAAGTATGCCGATTTGCTCGAGAGATCAGTGCCATTAGGGGCAAAAATTGGGTTTGCCAAAGGTGCAGGAATGGGGATAATTTATTTGGTTACTTTTTCAACATGGGCATTGGCTTTCTGGTATGGCTCGATTTTAATTGCAAAGGGAGAACTATCGGGAGGTGCTGCCATCGCATGTTTCTTTGGCGTCAATGTTGGCGGCAGGTATAAATCTGTTCGCAAGCAAAGAACTTCATTTTCACCTCATATTAGTTAACTTATGAATGCCCGGAGCGCTCGTGTATAAGTTTTGATCAACACAAATTTACATTTACAGATAAAAAAAAATAAAAAATAAAAAATAAGGGTCTTACTAACATGTCTAATTTCTGAAGGGGATTGGCACTGTCACTGTCATACTTCGCACAGTTTGCGCAAGGAACTGTAGCAGCTAGCAGATTATTCGAAATTATTGACAGGATTCCACAAATTGATCCTTATAGTCCCGAGGGAAGGAAGCCATCGAGTACACGAGGGAAAATTGAATTCAAAGGTGTTTATTTTGCCTATCCCTCTCGTCCAAGTGTCCTGATTCTCCAATCTCTTAACTTAGTGATCCCAGCTTCAAAGACTCTAGCATTGGTTGGCGCCAGTGGGGGTGGCAAGTCAACAATTTTTGCTCTTATAGAGAGGTTCTACGATCCAATCCAGGGTACCTTCATGAACTTTAGTATTGTGAAACACAAAAACTACCTGATTATGAGTTATTAGTAACAAATGCGTCGTTTTGGCAGGTTACATCACCTTGGACGGTCATGATTTGAGGACATTGCAAGTTAAATGGCTAAGAAATCAGATAGGTATGGTCGGTCAGGAACCGGCCCTTTTTGCAACAACCATACTAGAAAATGTGATGATGGGGAAGGAGCATGCCACCAAGAAAGAGGCTATTGAAGCTTGCAAGGCAGCTAATGCTCATAATTTCATCTCTGGCCTTCCACGAGGCTATGATACCGAGGTTAATATCCGGATCTTTTCAGTTCTTGAGAATAGTTTTTGGCAAATGCATATGAGAGTAGATCTGGTTATATCGTCAAATTTCCACTTGCAGGTTGGGGATAATGGAACACAAGTATCTGGTGGTCAAAAACAGCGCATTGCACTTGCTCGAGCTATGATAAAAGACCCTACAATTCTTCTCTTAGATGAGGCCACAAGTGCCTTGGATCCAGAGTCCGAAAGTGTGGTTCAAAAGGCCATTGACAAGATATCCGTAGGAAGAACTACGATTATTATTGCTCACAGGCTGGCTACTGTCCGCAATGCTGACATAATTGTTGTGCTTGACCGTGGTTTTGTTGCTGAGAGAGGTAACCATCAGCAACTGATGGAAAAAGCCGGATCCTATTTTAATCTTGTCAAGATGGCTTCAGAAGCACAACCTGTGGTGAAGGAAAATGAAGTGCAGAGCAATATGGATTTTACTCATTATGAGAAATCCATGTGTAGTATATCAAGGACAACGGATATATATGAAATATCAAGATCCAACTACCTGAAATCAAGGCAAGAAAACCAAGTACTGGAGAAAGAAGAAGAGAAACCGAAGTTGAGAAAGTATCGACTTAAAGATGTTTGGAACCTTCAGAGACCTGAACTTACCATGCTGTTAGTGGGGTTCCTCTTGGGTATGCATGCAGGTGCAATTCTCTCCATCTTTCCCTTGGTGCTCGGCCAAGCGCTTAAGGTCTACTTTTTTCCCAACATGCATAAGTTGAAAAAGGAAGTTGGATACCTTTGCTTGACGCTGATTGGACTAGGATTTGGATGTATAATCTCCATGACACTCCAGCAAGGCTTCTGTGGTTGGGCAGGTACAGGGCTCACTAGACGAGTAAGGGATCTTCTGTTTCAAGCTATATTAAGACAAGAACCCGGGTGGTTTGATTTCAGTGAGAATTCCATGGGGGTACTCGTGTCTAGGCTTTCAATAGATTGTGTCAGTTTCCGGTCAGTTCTTGGTGATCGTTTTTCTGTCCTGCTAATGGGCTTCAGTGCAGCAGCTGTTGGCCTTGGGGTGTCTTTTTTTCTTGAGTGGAGATTAGCTTTGTTGGCTGCTGCTCTCACTCCATTCACACTGGGCGCGAGTTATTTCAACCTAATCATCAACGTTGGGCCAAAATTAGATAATGGTTCATATGCCAGGGCTAGTAGTATTGCTGCAGGTGCAGTGTCAAATGTAAGAACGGTGACCACATTTGGAACACAGGAACGAGTAGTTCAATCTTTCGATCAAGCTTTATCTGAGCCTAAAAGGTTGTCCGTAAAAAGATCACAAATTCTTGGATTAGCTCTTGGCATTTCTCAAGGTGCCATGTATGGAGCCTACACCCTAACTCTGTATTTTGGGGCTTACCTTGTAAAACAAGGGTATACAGAATTTGGAGAGGTATATAAGATTTTCTTGATACTTGTCCTCAGCTCATTCTCCGTTGGACAACTCGCTGGCCTAGCGCCAGATACTTCTATGGCGTCAACGGCAATACCATCTGTTCTCAATATCCTTAATCGTAAGCCTTTAATAGGCAACGATAGCCAGAAAGGTAGGAAGATTGGAAGCTCGAAGCCATTTGATGTCAACTTCAAGATGGTGACATTTGCATACCCATCTAGACCAGAAGTAATTGTGTTAAGGGATTTTAATATCAAAATAAAAGGCGGAACAATGGTGGCTTTTGTAGGGGGAAGTGGATCGGGAAAATCAACCGTGATATGGATGATACAGAGGTTTTATGATCCAATTAGGGGAAAGGTACTATTGGAAGGGGTGGATTTGAGGGAGCTTAATTTGAAATGGTTAAGAAAGCAAATGGCTTTAGTAGGTCAAGAGCCGGCACTATTTGCTGGGAGCATAAGAGAGAACATTGCGTTCGGGAATCCTAATGCTTCATGGGTTGAGATTGAAACAGCTGCAAAAGAAGCTTATGTTCATAAGTTCATCTGTAGCCTTCCTCAAGGCTATGAAACAGAGGTAAGTTCAAATTCACAATGAAACTCGTTTCTAGCTAACCTATGCTTTAGACTCTGTAAATATCAAGTGCAATGGTACGCAGTTTTTGTCAGGATTGCATGGTATAATAGACAATATTTTAACCTCGTTTTCACTGACAATGTAATTGTATTGTTGTCATTTTGCTACAGGTAGGTGAGAGTGGGGTACAGTTATCAGGTGGTCAGAAGCAGAGGATTGCAATAGCAAGGGCTATACTAAAGAAATCAAAGATTCTATTACTCGATGAAGCTAGCAGTGCACTCGACTTCGAATCTGAGAGACATGTCCAAAGCGCGTTCAAGAAGCTGTCTAAGCGCTCCACTACCATCGTGGTGGCTCATCGACTTTCAACCATTAGAGAAGCTGATTATATTGCTGTTTTGAAAGATGGCGCAGTGGCAGAATATGGAAACCACGATGAGTTAATGGCTTCCCATCTTGATGGCATCTACGCTAACCTGGTTCGTATAGAAACAGAAGCAAATGCATTGTCCTGAACTTCTTATGCTGTCCAAAATCTAGTCAGGGCACAGTTTTCTCAATGGTGAATCAAAATGCAGAATCACTTATAAGGTTCTTAATGAAAAATTTATGAGACAATTATCTGTAATTGATTTGGCACATAAACCATTTTATCCTTTGTGACATTACAAGAACCATGATCAGAAGTACTAATAGAACTTTAGAGTATTCATATCCTGCAATTACCTGCCCAATTTTATCAACGGCTTGATCAATGCAAGTTGTATTTCCATTACAATAGGAGAGGGCTGAAGATGGAGACGCCGGGCACACGCTGATTTCTTGGATCAGAAATATACTCCAAGCAATCATGCTAGCATGTGCCCTGCTTCTCCAGCTTCAGTCACCCCCTAGTTCGACTTATAAGCCCATTTGTCGTCCGCCCCTTGCAAGTCGATTTTAAAGGTGAGTTTTATGCCTAGTTCGTTGTAACACACTCATTGATGAACTCTATATATTAGAGTGACATGAGTTGTGCAATAAATCTTGAGAGTTGAGAAGTCTTTTGTCAGTTGGTTGTGGGTAGTTAATCTTTTTACTTTGCTTAAAAAGATGATAATTAATTTTAATTTTAAGCAAATCCAAATATGGTTTGCCTTAATTTAGTGATTGTTGGAAGTTTGGCTGCCAAAATAGAATTGAATTAATTTAAGGGGTCAAACTGACACTGCTTTTACAAAGAAGTGAGGTCTACCAGAAGCCAACATAAAGCATATACATATAGGCAGGCGCAGGCCACCCACCATACCTCAATTATCTAATAAATGATGTTGACCACGGTTTAAATTATGTCATATAACAATATTTACTAGTCGATTATACATACTTGATTCTTAATTATTATATATTTCCTTTTTGTGTCAAAACCAACACATGGAAAAACACAAATGGTTATGTAATTGGATCATAACATTGTGTTTCTCAGTTTATAGGAATCCCATGGATTGGCACTTCATAATCCATGAAATTATGTTATTGGTGAAAATTGCATAAATGGTAGGGTTTGATAAGCTTTAGACAAAATTAGAGTCCAATTGTGTACTTTTTTTTTTTTTTCTTTCAAATAACAATATCCCGTGACTTGTGGGGTGAGCCGATATCTACTATAAGTGTTATACTCTAGATCCACATAAACACATATAATTGATGCAAGTTCGTAAATTCAAATCCTAGTAATTTGTTTATCATAAAGAATTGTGGTTGTAAGATACAAATTACTCGTGACAGAATCTTAAATCATCTATGGTTGTAAGTAATAACGAGATACGAATTTCGTTACTACGGACAGACCATAACATATTTGACATTTTTTACTCGTGAAGTAAGTAACTGATCTCACGAATTAAAGTGTGATGACATTTAAAAGAATGAGTGGATGTTTTGTTATAGAACAAAATATTGGGACCCGCTGGAAACATTCCATATGGATAACTATATGAGTGTTAGTAATTAATCTGTAACGTTCGATAGTGAAATTGGTCTTTCGATTTGAGATCATCATAGTGTCTTATATGAGGATAGTCATACTTTGATGATATTGGATATTGCTCTGCTAATGGCCGTTAATATGGTATCGTTCAGTTATGTCAAGAATCATATAAATGTTGCGAATAATCAATAGAGAATTGGTTACTCTTAGATAGATTTACATTTCATTCAGTTAAGTTGATAACGAAATCTTTGGGTAAGGTGTATTCATAAGTTAAAAAGAAGTTTTCAACTCATATTGACTCAATAGTGGAATAAAAATACAAACGATAATTGAGATAGACACATGTGTATATCTCTTAAGTAATCGAATTATATTAATGAAATGATTATAATTTCACAGTAAATGAATAAGTTTGGATTTCATACCACATAACATTTCCTGTTACATTTATTGCTCTGACGCATTGCTAGATGTAAATTTAGGATGATAAATGTGAATTGGTGATAAATTAGAAAGTGGTATTTTAATTTATCGATTTTGATTAGATTAAAAAAATAATTAATGTCGTTAGGTATCTTGATTGAAAACCTAATGGGCCACAAAGAAAATGATAACTAGAAGAATGAGATTTATCAATTAATTAATTGATAATTATTGAAAAATTAATTAATTGGATTGCTTGTTAGTAGGCCCGAATTAATTAATTGAATTAATTCATTCATGGACCAAAAAAATTTAGTTAATTGGATTAATTAAATATTGGATCGAATTAAGTTAAGAGACGGGTCAAGCCTGTTTGGATTTATATTAATATGCTCTTATGGTTTGAAAAATTGTAGAGAATATAATTCATATTCTTACTAGCACAAGAAAAGAAAAATCCTATTTCTTCCCAATCTTGTTCTCTATGTAGATTTTCATTGGAGGATGAACAATTAAACAACTGCGAGTTGCAAATTGTGATTGTTCATATTACAACAAAGGAGTTTGCAGAATCTAAAAAATGTATAATTTCTATCTAATACAAAGTGGATTATTGGTGGAAATTAAAATTATTTTATTTTTCGTTGTGCATGATTAAGTAAATTCTCAACATACATGAGCTTGATTTTTTTTCTTTTATTTTTTACCCTTCTATAATAATTATTTGGAGTAAAATTGTACATGAATAACTTGTTACGTTTACATTTTTTTTTTTTAAATCAAGCATTTGAAAACAAAGAATTCATTTCGACATTTCCTCAAGTTCTTTCAGGTATCATCAATGAAGCGTCTATCAAACACACAAAACCAAACACACTCCAAGTGTTTGGTAGCACACTTCATTGACGTTACTTGGAACTTGAGGGAATGGATTCTTCTTTTGCGGAGGCTTGCTTTTATTGATGCAACAATATCTATTTTCGTTATATTGGATGTAGAGAATTATTATGAGGTTCGAATAATTAAATTGTATTATAATTTTGATTTTAAAGAGAATGTAGAACATAATAGATAGTTTGTGAGAAAAATGGGTTGAAGTTGTGTAGAATTTATAGGGTGAAAAAAATAAAAAAAATCAATGATTGTTGGGGGACATATAAAGTTTGTGATCATTTAAAAAACGTTTGTTTTGTTATTGAAGCTCAACGAGCCACAAGCTGCTCATTTGAGGGGCTCGTGGGCTTACCTACCAAGGCCCCCCAACTTGGGTTTGGGCTTGATCTAATTTAGAAATGCACCCTAGCCGCCAATGGATAGAGTCGAGCCGACAAGCCGCTCAACCCTTTTGCCACCTCTAATAAAATGATAGATACATATATGACTTTAGACACTCTACATGAATTCAATCCTCAAGCTTTCATCAACAATCAAATTACATTTGATTTGTTGCTTTCAAACTATTTTTAGTTTTCAATTTTGTAACACACCTAAAATATATTTGGTTTGGTATTTCGAAAAATGCATTTTCGAAAATAAGGTTAAACTTACAATATAAAGTTTAAAACACATTTTTATCAATTTGAGTTTTTTTCAGTGAAAAATCTGAAAACTCAATACATGGAAAATAAAATTTTATTTACATAAAATTCTAAAAATTAAAAAATCTAAAAAAAATATGAATTTAAAAAAAAATCTAAGAAACTCAAATTCTAAAAAAATTAAAATTTAAAAAAATGACAATTTGTAAAAAAAAAAAAAAAAAAAAGGATAAAAATTTTGAAAAAAAAAATCTAAACCTAAAAATAAAATTTTGCAATTCTACAAAATCTAAAAATTTTGAATAAATAATATATATGAAATTCTAAAATAATTAAAATTGTTAAAAATATATATATTTCAAACTCTTAATAGCTATATATTTACATATAAAAAAATTAAATGAACAATGATAAAAAATTTCGGTACACATTGCTAATTTTTATCTTTTATTTTCTATGTTTTGCCAAGTAAATTTGTGGTTTGTTTTTGTTTTACTTTTGTAGCGAAAAAAATATATTAGGATTTACCAAATTTAAAATGCATATATTACTTGATAATACATAAAAATATGAATAATCAAATTTCGTGGAATAAAATGTCATAAACTAATTTATCAAAATTTCAAATCAAAAGTGTTTTCTAGTTTTCTGTATTGAGAAAAAAATTTCGAAGTAACAAACTAAACGCATTTTTAATAATTTTAAAATGGACTCTCTCAGAGCAGAAAATTAAAAATGAAATTCAAAACAAAAACTTGAAACATATTCCAAACGAGCCTTAATTTTCTTGCAAATACATATACCACTTATCCGTTCCCAACTATTAAAAAGTACTAAGATTTCAGGTGTGACTGAAATTCAATTAGGAGTTGGTAGTATGCTTTGAAGAAGTCTTAAGGGGAGAAAAAAAAAAAAAAAAAAAAAAAAAAAAAACATATGCCATCTCTTGCTAACCACGTTCTAAGCACTCGAACAGTGGATGGACCACTCACTAACCTTGGGCCCACCGCTTGAGCGATAGTGATATTCGAGTAAAAACCTAGTCGCGATTAGACGATTTTTTACATTCCTATTCTATTTTAAATACTCCATTATTTGTTAGACTTATTAAATTAGGACTCCACCCTATGTTAGGCTCTTCTTTGTATTATCTACACTACCATAAAAGAGAGAATGAGGGTTTACTGTTCATTTTTGTCACACTTGTTTCCACATTTAACCGGTTTGGGAACTGGTTTGACAACAAGAAAAATTCTATTCAAAAATATTGTAGGAATTTTGTCACACGCCATTGTTCACTGCAATATTTCTCCCTTGCTTTGAATTTGACACACCATGCTCTTTCTCCTAATTCTCACGCTATTAACTATCAACCATATCTTATATATTTAAATTTTTAAAATTATATTAATAAACAAAATTATTGTAAATAAAATGTAAAAAATATATATATGTATATATAATCACTCTGTGCATGGAGAAAAAAATTTACGTCATATCACATAATTTTTTTTTGAGGAAAATGATGTATTGAGAAAATTGTTGCAAAAAAAATAATAAATAATAATAAAATAATTGATTTTTTTTTTTTAAAAAAAACGACTTATACGCATTTTTTTAACTCATACGTTTAATG